ATAAGGAAATCTTCCAATCAAACCTTTCCAAAATATACCGCGTAACCATATTTGATATCTTTTGTTTCTGGCACTGAGAGCATGTAATTTATTGGTTTAACATGTAAATTATACATATATAAACTATTCAGTAAAGAGTACAATATTAGATATGATTTTTAGGGCATCAAAAGTGATAAAATTTTTGTTTGGCACTAGTTATTAAAACTTGACGGTTTCCGAGATACAGGAATTTTAATGAATTTTAACGAAATTTCTACTTATCCTAGCTTATAACTTCCCTTCAGAAAGAAATAAAGATTTCAAAAAGTCCACCCTTTTAGAAACTGGTCATTTAAAGCCTTTATCTGCAAATATGTAGACATAAAATATAAGGCTTCAGTTCCGTTTAAAAAAAATTAATTGTCAAATTTTTAGAAAAATGCGACCCTGAATACTTATCTAAATAGACATGTAAATTAACTTTTTATAAATTCTTAATAAGTGTTTAAACAACATTTTCAATGAACATAACATAATCTTGCGCAACACTTTTGTTCAAAAAATAAAAAATATTTTTAAACATTATTGATTATGGTGACCACATCAAATATTTTCATATTAATCAGAATTTGCAGTCCTTGTTTGTTATGATTGTAATTTTTTTCCACGCGATTTTAAAAAATCAAAATTTTGGTGGTCCATTTTACTCTTAATTTTCCTTTAATTTTATTTTTCTTTATCCTGTGTAAGTTTTTTCAATCAGTTGTTTTAGATCAAAATCTAATTCGTTGCGAATGTTGTTTGTGTTCTCGGAGTTCTCTAAATTCAGGAAAATATAACATTTTCACAATGTGTATATGAAAAAAAAAGCTTTGACCAACTAACCAACAAAACAATCTTAAGTTAACATAAAAACTAATTTATCGTTAGTGGCATTTACATATGAAGTGAGTGGTTTTCTGGAAGTAATTCCTAAAAAAATTGTTTCGACATTACGTTAACATTATTTTCAAGAAAAAAAGGTATATAAATCTGACTAAACAGCTGCCGAAGTAGACTTGTTCGAGACTTGTAGAAGTTGTATGATATTTCAAATTTCTGCATTTAAATCTACAATCTAGTAAAGTTTTGTTTGTATTCTGATTGCCACAGAATTAATTTGAGATTAAAGATGTGTAAGAAAAATTCATTCAAGCAATATCAGCATGTTTTTTTCAATTGAAATCATACACGTTGTCGAATTTTACAAATCAGACAAAAAAAAATGCTTTTAAAATTTTATATTTTAAGTGGCATGAGTTTTTTTTTATAATCACAGAATTTATTAGCAGTTGTCGAACCTATACGCATTAATTTCACACTTCGTACTAATTTGTCTTTCAGAAAGTTGTTATAAAATTCATACTAGATTTTTGTACTCCCGTGCTTCATATAATGACTTTTATTAAAATGAAACTTATCCTACATTATCGTAATATAAACAATGCGAAAATAAAATACTTCTTCGGCCCTTTGATGTAAAAATTCTGTATAGAAATATTGGTATCTTTTCATTTACTCTTAAAAATTTGTAAACTTATGTTGCAACAATAAACGGGAATTGGAATATAATAAATTGTATAAAATAATGCGATAATTAAGTATTTTTCAGAAGCAAAAGTGCGTGGCGGTAGGGTCAATTGGGAAAAAGTCTAAAAAATCGAACAACATCAATCTTCTGATCACAAAAATATGTTTAAGTCATTAAACACAAATAAGAATTTTACCTAGCAATATCTTATGCAGCCATAAATTTGGTAACAAGTTCAGGAAACAACAGAATATTTTATGCATTTGAAAGATTTTAGTGACCATTAGGGATTCATGTTTTTGTATTGAAAACATAATAATTTTTATGTTTTACTCTACTGCCAAAGAATAGAATTAAATGTCATTTCAGTATCGTTATGAGCCCAGAAAACATAGATATAATATTTGTTTCCCATACTTGCTCTATAAGTAACATTGGCTTGGCTTTTAATATTAAATTTTAGAGCAAAAACACTAACTAAATTGTTAATATTGCGGTGTTAATAGTGTGTTGTATCAAAAAAAACTATAGAATAAAGACGATACAACAAAATTCAAAAATATTAAAGTATACTTAAAGTAATCCTTAAATTCACTTAAAAACTAAAGTTTTATAAAAGAACATTTTTGCATTGCTCCCGACGCTTTACATGAATCTTTCATCGTAAAATGTTTTCTTTTTTTTACATCATATCTGATTAATGTCATCACTAAAAATAAAATATTCGAAAAAAAACAGAACAGAAGAGTTTCTTAATTAAGACTAACGTTAAACATACACCACACACCAGGATTTAATTACAGAGAAAAACTTACATTATTATAAATTGAAAATATGTGGGAGTCACAATATTTTATTTCACTTTTAAAGTTTTGAAATAGAACCGCTATTTTCTCAAAAATTCAACTTAGTTGTGTAAAACACTGTTTTTTACGCAGAGTGCACATTGGCTTATGTAGATAAGGGCGATGAGATAAGACAGGGATTACAAACTTATTTGAAAAAGTCATATATTTAAAGGTCTACATTCGCTCCGAGTTTATTATATATTTTTGGATTTTGTTGATTTTAAACGGAACTTGATATTTTTTTAAAACAGCAAACTTTCGTATAGGCAAATATTTCGTTTTGTATAAAAATAATATAGCAGCCAAAAAAATATTTAGTAAAAATTTTGATGATATTTTCAGATTTAATATGAATTTCCAATTGGAAGGAAGTAGTAAGGAATCTAAATACATACAAAATTGAAACCCCCTGTTTTCGTACGAGGGACAAAAACTTGGAAACTCTTCTTTTGAATTAGAATTGTGCTATTAGTTTTCAGAGTAGAAAAATATAATTCTCCGTAACTTTCAAAGGGCAGTACAAAAAACAGTTCAAATACTGAAAATTTTAAGAAATAGATTTTGAAATCGCTGCATTCTATTAAAAAAAGCAGTGTCAATTCTTTTTACACTTCGAACTTCCTTTTGTTTTACATTTCGACCGTCAAGAGCTTTTAATATACATTTTGGAATATGACACATCGAAAATTTTACGTTTTTACTGCATCACAGTTTTTCTTGAACATTAGTTGCGTAATTCTCTATGTTACATTTGCTATATACATTTTAGTAGCAAATTATTCTTAGTAGTTTTAAGACTTATTATGTAGTTGTCAAAGGGAAATTTCAAAATTTCGTCTTTAATTGTCTTTTTTTTTCCAGTGTAAGTGCAAACTGAAATTCTGTCAAACTAAATAATCGGAATAAACTTCAAATAAATATTTGATACCACAAAAATAAAAACAATAAAAAAAATATCCTTAAAAACAAGGTGATTTTCCTTTTTACAAGATTAATTGATTGAAATCCTGAGATTAAATGAGTGGAAAATGTTCTTTTAAAAATAAAAATTGTACGGAAAAAAAAGGAATAATAATAAAGACGAAACAGAAAGACATCCAAAATAAACAGATGAACCAAAGCTATCAAAAAAATGTTCTTTACAAAATCAAGGGAAACGAAATCTTTAGAAATTCACAAAAATAAAATGAAAATTAATAAAATGTTGATTGAATGATCAAAAATTTTACAATTTTTATGTAATTTTTTATCGAAAACAATTGTTAAATTAAACTTGAAACATAAGAGATACAACAATCTAGTAATTAACAACTCCTATGAGTTTTTAATGCTCTTTGAAGAAGCAAAGAATCATTTTACAAGTTACCCAGAGTATCAAAGTTATTGAATTGAAAATGCTTTCTAGGTCAAAATGTTGAATGATTTTGTTTTAATTTCGGTTGATCTCTTAATTAAACTGTTGTTGGTTTTGTATTTATTATTGCTTTAACGACAAAATTAACTTTAATTTTAAAATTTTAAAATTTCAAAATTGTTAAAGAAAACAGTGGAAGAAAATTTAATTTATTTAATATTATTTTCTATATATTCGAGGTTGAGTGGCAAACCGAGGGCTACGAATTATCACAAAGTTGCAATGTAAAAATTTTATAGCTTTTTTCTCGTTTCAAAGTGTATTAAACGTATTAGTAAGAATTAAACGTATGGATAAGTACGTGAAACACAAAATTTTTAGGTTAATTTCTGTTTAAAAAAAAAACAAGAAAAGAGTTGCAACACAAACTATTTTGGTAATTTAAATTACCAAAAAGTACAGGCTTGAAAGCACCCTAATTCAAAATGAAAAGTATTAGAATTGAAATTGGCGACATGCCAACTCCTCTGCAAATAATTTTGTTTACTTCATAACAAAACCTAATCTAGAGTTTGCTCTGTTTGTAACAATGTTGAGATGGGCCTTCAAGTCAAACCTCTAGTCGAGCATAACATTAAAATCATGTATAATTTAACTCGCCTCAGAGCCCTGCCATTCAAGTAATAGAGATAGAAACATTTACTAAATCCTGCAATTCAAGTAATAGAGATAGAAACCTTTACTAACCACAGTTCCTTTTTTACTAACCAGTACCTTTAACCTTTGCTAAATTGTCTTACAATGCTCTGTCTCATCCGGAAAACTTCTCAATTTAAGTCCGTTTTAGAACCCAATACATAAGCTGTTAGAATGCAAAGTAGAAGCAGCAAATGGCTATGTTATCACAAGCGAAAAGATTAGAAATTTTTATAGCCAATTACAATTTCGACAAATACAAAAATTCCATCTGAAAATTGTTATCAAATAAAATTTTCATTACAGAAGAAAAACAATAGCGTAACATTCTTTCAACGATATTTCTATTGAATATTTTACATTTAATGGAATTACTAAAACAAAAGTATGTATATTTTATGGCAACTATTTTTATCGCAAGTTGTTAACTGAACTGCATATTAAAAAAAAAACAAAAAATTATAATTCTTGTTTTTCTACAGTCTCTTCAAATAAATTCTCTCTAATTTATGAATTAAAATAATAAAATTGCATTGAAAATTCAAATTACCTTGTTGAAAATAGTTAGCCTTTCTTACATAAACACAAACTAGTGCCATTAATTGTAACTGTGATAATCTTTGTCTAGTAGATTGTGGTAATGGCAACAAATCTCGAAGATTTGCAATTTCAGCATTGATTAAATCTCGTCGCAGTTTTGATGCACCTTTTGTTGATTTGTTAGCATCAAATCTGAAAACATAAACAAAAAGTAAAAATAAAATTTAAAATATACGGATGAATTAAAAAAAAAATAATTTTTTAAATAAAAAATTATTTTATTTGTTTTTAAAATTAAAATAAAGAATTCATAAATATTTTTATTAAGAAAACTTGTATAGCAAATTTCCTAAAAAAATTTGTTTAACCCTTTTGTTACCTAAACGTTTAATTAAGATTTTTACTCTGTTTCGATTTCAGTAATAAATAAATATTATTTTATGGAAAAGATTTTGTACTAATTACTAATAATAAATTGTTTTTAATTGTGGTGCTAATCCAATTCAATAATGTGTTAATCAAGGGAAATTTGAAATTCTTAAAAGAAATAATGTTATTTATCTTTCAATACCCAACCAAACAAGAGAAAAGCTATTAATAAGAGCAACTAAAAAAATTAAGTTTTGTTTTACCAAAATCAAAAAACGCAAATGGTTCAGGGAACTATTTCCAATACCTACAGTTTTAAATCGATCTGATTAAGAAATTGAAATTTAAGAACTTAAATCAAAGGAACTCATTTTTCCACTTTGCACAACCTAAAAACATTGTTACACGAGGTGCTAAATCCTGCTAAATTCAACTTCCGTAAGAATAAGCTCCTTTTCCAAATTTCCAGCCATTCTTATCATTCCCAATTGAGAGTTTCAACGAACAGGACAAACAAACAAATGATAAGATTGATTAAATATATGAATATAAAGATATGTTCATGGATTCCCTCTTTCCTTCTGCTCTGTTTACCCAAAATCTTCTAACAAGTTCTCGTATTAAACAAATTCGCTGTAGAATAAAAACAATTTCCTTAGCTGTGTTCAAAGGCCAACAAATTCAATTTTTTTTAACAAATTCCAAAATGAAAAATTCATTTATTGCAAAGGCAAAAGCGCAAAGGGATGAAAATAACAACGAATCTGTAATTATTGCTTAATCGGCAATCGTAGCTTATAATTGATGTTTGACTTTTTCTTTTTAAAAAATCTAATTAAATAAAACAAATCTGTGGAATTGGTGCGGAATAAACCGGCTTAACATTTGAAATCATTCAAGTGTCTATATTGCGGAGGTTCCAAATTTTAATCTTAATGAGATTTAGAAAAAGCTCATTTTGTACTATGGTTAACAATATTACAAATTTTTGTAATTAAATAAATGTACTTGAAATTTTAAAATACTGCCAAGTAACAGTTTTGTTTTTGTTAATTATTTTGGGCGCGTTTATGAATACATAAAAGTTTTCTCATTCAAACAACTGTGGCAAAATGAAAATACTATAGCAAATCTAATAATTATAAAACCATAATATACTTTATGTATTAAAAAAGTTTTAAATACATTTTAAACATAAGGTGCATAAGTTCAAGGTAGAAAAAAAGAAAAAAAAAACATACAGTGAATGAAAAATCCAGCTGCAAAACTACGAGCATAATAAGTTTTATTTGAGTAATTTGCTAATATAAATTTACTAAATGTGTACACAAGCAATACTTTTATTAATATAATTACTCGTATTATATGCATACATACCTATACCAAATAGTATTATATAAATAATATGAAACATATTGTACCGTCTATGCATGAATTTCTACCAGAAAATTACAATTTCAAATTATTTTAAGACATCCAGATGTTAAAGGAAAATTATATTTTCTTGTAAGTTATTATTATATTTTCTTACAAAATTCTGTTTGCGATTATTATTTTGTGCTGTGGAATTTAAATAACAACAAATTGTATTTCAAATATACTAACAAACATACCTACATAATTTATCTGTACCTGTAATGTTTTTATCTGAGTGTATACTCTTATAATAATAGTTTGATTTTTCTATTGCAGTCGTAGCTTGTGATTATTAACTAACTTGCACATACCCGTAGTCTTATACATTTTATGTTCGAATATATGTACATACTTATATTTTTTTTACTTTTATAATAATTGAAAAGAAACAATTACAAATTATTCGATCTTGAGTTGCGGTCATGATCACTGATAATTTGACATTCTGTCTTTGCCTTTCTGCTTTTTGTTGTTTTTCTCTTTTACTTTGTTTTTTGTTGTTTATTTTATGACTCATAACTTAATTGAAATTCACATTTTTTAACCAATTATTCAATGTATATATTATGTAAGTATGCGAAGTATGTGCATTCATATGTACTTTTCATATTAGAATTTTCACATCCATAAGGAAAACGAATTCAAAATTTAAATAAAAAGCGTTAACAAAGTTTATATGTGAACAAAAATTTTTATGTTTAGTTTTCAAAACACAATTTATTAAAAATCTAATGTTTAAATTTCGAAAATAAAATAATCTTTGGAATGAGATTTAAATTTAAGTGTAAATGTGTAAACATTAAATAATAGCCAAATATTGTATTTGAAAAATAAAATGTGATTCTTCAAAGGAATTTAATTATATGAAACACAATTGTGTTCGAAAATTTAAATTTTTCATATAGAATGAAGGGAAATAGGTAAGGAAAAATATAAACATGCTTGCATTGTAAACATTGAGTAGACGTTCCTACAACAAATATTTTATGTACAAATAGTTACTACAGTGAAACTGCTCTATATCGTACTCTCTATAAGACGAACTTTTCTCTATTTCGAACTGTGTTACTTTGTTTTTATATGAAACACAATTGTGTTCGAAAATTTAAATTTTTCATATAGAATGAAGGGAAATAGGTAAGGAAAAATATAAACATGCTTGCATTGTAAACATTGAGTAGACGTTCCTACAACAAATATTTTATGTACAAATAGTTACTACAGTGAAACTGCTCTATATCGTACTCTCTATAAGACGAACTTTTCTCTATTTCGAACTGTGTTACTTTGTTTTTACTATATAGTAAAATAAAAAACTGTAAATTTTTTGTAAAGTATGTGTGTAATGTAAGTGAGCTGCCACTTTATCGAGAGGTTTTGAATTAATCAAAAGATTAATGTAATTAATGACGCCGAAAGTGGTGTAAAACAAAAAAATCTATGTTTAAAATATAACTTGGCAAAGAGTACGTTGTCAACAATAGAAAAAATAAAGATTTTATCAAAAACATGTTAAGTCATCATTTCAGCGGGTGTTAGAAACTATACAAAATTCATGTTAAATTGAAAGCGACACACCATACAATTTTTTAAATACATATTTGAATGAATTCCAAACATTTTCGATAAAAAGTTTATGAAGCAAAAAACATCAAACAAAATATTAGATTTCTCCCTACAAATAAAAATTCCTAATACATATTACATTATAATAATCACATTATTGTAATATTTTATTTTTTATTTAGTTTTATTATTTTAAGATCACATTATTCTTATTAAATATATAAGCAAAAACCAGTATATTTTGTATTATTTATTGAGAGTCCCTCGACATTTAGAGAGTTCAAGATATGGAGGTTCCACTGTATATCTAGCAGTATCCGTGCCGAATGTACTATTAGCAAACTGGTACAAGCGGTTGTAATATCGAAAAATTCAATTTAATAGTTTAATACATAAACATTTTTACTCATAAAATTTTTGATATGTTTGCGAATTGAATAAATACTTGAACAAATTCGAATCGAACGAATGCAAACGATATCAAACGAATCTATTATAATAAAAATATATTTTTTTGAACGAGACCTTCTCCTATGTACATATATTTAAATTAATTCCGTTAAATAACTAAAATTATTTTTTCCAACAAAAAATTATTGCATGCCTTCAATATAAGAACAAACTCAATGGTCATCTTAAGATAAGTAATTAAATGAAAAGTCGAGAAATTTTGCTAATTTTAAAATTTGAAAACTTAAAAAGAGGGGGGGGCGGGGGGGGGGGGGGGTGAGTAGGTGCAAAAATATTGCTCCACTATCATCCCATAATAAAAACATTTACCAATTTATAAAGAAATCTTAGATTTCTTAACCGTCTTGGAGAAAAACGATAACAAAATAAAAAAAAAGGATTTATGATGTAATGGTCAACTTTAACTGACATTTCACTATTTTAATGCTTCACTAATATGTTTCGCAGTAAAGGAATCAAGTCCTTATTTTGCTATTGTGTTTAAAAAATTTAAAAAAAGGTTGAGGTTTCCTTACGATATAATAATTTTTCAAAAGTGGCATTTTTTTGACTTTGTGAGGCCATAATTTTTAAAGGATGAAAATTTTCTTATTTTTTTGCAATAATCTATTTGAATATAAAATGTCAGCATTATATATGTAGAAGTTTTGTAAACAGACACACGAACAGACGGACGGACTCGTGAAACTCTTTTCAATTTTGCTTAAAAAGTGCTTAAAAGAACAATTTAATTAACCGTTGACAAAACTTTATTTAAAGTTTTATTAAAAACTCATAGATAGACAGGGTCACTATTTTATTTGTTGCGATTACTTTGAGGTGGGCATTTAACATTGTACACATAATCGAGAAATTTCATCCTGTATATTAGCCTTGGACCGTAAAAACATCCGGCTCTGATTGTATATACCTACATATGATGAGTGCGTTTTATGTTTAGCATGATGTACATTTATCTCACATATTATTAGTACGTGTAGATATTATTATTGAAAATCACTTTGACTGATATCTAATAACAGTAATTTTGCTATATTATGCCGCATAAATTTCCAAAAATACATACATACATATCATATACAATGCATAGTAATAACGATAAGTATGTACCTACATATACATGAGTTCATATTCATATCTACATATACATAATTTTAATCACATTTAAGCATTTTTTTTTCATTTTTGAAATAATTTTAACAAGAAAAATTGTACAAAAATATTTCTCACCTTTCGCAAGCATAAAAAAAAACATCAAATAAAAATAAATATAAAATTACTTTACACTCTCTATTGCAAATATTTGTGTATGTTGGTATATTCATATCGCGTAATCTGTACGTATTGATTCGCTTACATATACAAAACTA